ACTCTTTCTAAACCTTTATTGGGGGTCAATTTAGAATGAAATAGGTTTTTGAGTCAGAACTAGAAATCTATGTTATAAATTGTAGGAGGGGCTAAGGTGGTTTGGGATTAAGAGGTGATATTAAGATCACCAGTGTTCCTTTAAAGGGATCCTCATGGAAGGTAGAACAGCAGTTCTACTTGTCTAAACAGCTCACAGTGTGAGGAGCCATGTGACATACATACATAAGACAGAGAACACTGGGTTTAACTCTTAACCATGCTGCCTCTCTCCCTAGAACATGTTAGCTTTGCACTAAACATAATGTGTATTTTTTGTGTGGTGCTTAAGGCCCTGATTCTGCAACTGGAACTAGAGGTACAAATAAATGACTGCCTGAAGCCCCACTTGGGGAAGCAGTGGCTGGGGGAAGGGTATGGAGGAGGGGAAGGTTATTTTTCTGCACCAGTTCCAGCTGCAGGATGAGGGCTGAAGGTATTACAACTCATCTGTTATGCTCACTGTGGGCTGGACTGGGCAGTGCACTCAGAACCTGTGGTGGTGGCTGGTTGTGATCTCCCCTCCTTACCCCTTCACAAAGGTAGATCCTATCTAGACTGGTTGGGGACCCTGGTAGAAGTGCTGAAATGGTGCCATTGCCTGGATTTTCCTGAATATCCCAGCCAGATCCTCCTTTGGGGCACCCCTACAAGGAACAGTGTTTGCTATGGTCTGGGTCACCTTCAGAGTTTCAGCTACTGGGACGACTAGGCAAGGCTAGTGCAGGTCACACTGATAGAAGGACATGCCTCACTTGGAACAGTCACCACACTAGATAAGGAAGTAGATGTTTGGCAGGGGAAAAGAGTAACAGTCCAAAACCAGAGATTCACTGGGGTATCTTGCAGGTCATTTCTTTCTTGACTATTGAATATCTGCCTGCACTAGTACTTGACTGTCTTTCAGTATGGACCAGATCCTGCAGCACTTACTTTTGCAAATCCTTGTTACTTGCATAACTAATGCTGTTGAAATGAATGGGGATATTCACAGGTGGACTGGTTCCCTCCACCCTTGCCCTATATATAGTAAGAGTTGACTGAGCCAATATCTCTGCTGACCTGAATGCAGAGTGGATATGGTGCAGAGTTGTTGGTTGTAGCCGTGTTGGTCTAAGGACATAGGCAGGCAAGGTTCTTTGAGTAGATGTGATATATTTTATTTAGTCAGTCTAATAAAAGATACCGCATCTACCCAAAGAACCTTGCCTGCTTGAGTGGATATGGTTGAGCTGATTGTCTTCTTAGTAACTTAAGAGTTTGGAATGTTAGGTGCAGAGTTGGGACTTCACTATACACCAACATTTAATCTCAGCCAGTACCTATCTGAACAGAGGACTTTGTTGTTTGCCTACTTCTGTCTGCATCAGGAACATTGATCAGGAATCAAGTGACAGACACACTATTTACACTAGAGAAATAATTGCCATAAAATGTAAAGCTTCTTGCACTATTATTTAAATTGTGCTTCATTTCGTAGTCCTTTAAGACTGAAGTTGATGGCCTGGGGGGGTCCATCCCGTGTGTGTTTCTGTGTTCCCATGTCTTGTTTCAATCTTAGCAAGATATGACACATCAGTTACATGAACCCAGACCACAAAGAAGGATTTGTGGTATGCTTTGCTTTATACGTTTAACAGGTGACCAACAAGAAATTCAGGGAAAGGAAACAGTAGAATACAAGATTAAGGCAGTGGCCATACTTCAATGTGAAGAGGAAGGGAACCAAACATTGAAATGACACAAAAAGTGCATTTTCTGTAGATGTGAAATCCTCACACATGGATGTTTTAAATTACAGCCATAGGCTTCCATATAAAAAAAATAAGAAGGAAAGAAAATATGGTCTTTATCACTGTACCAAAATCCATGTTTATATTCATTTTATAAGTGTAATAGCTTTTGACATTATTTGAATTCTGCTTGAGTAAGAATGAAGGGTAAATGTTCAATATGTTGCTAACAAGTGTGTTGTTTGAGCTTGTTGGTCTTTGGCAATGAAGGTTGTATTACAAGATGAATGTATACGTTTGACTGAAGTTCTATATAATTCCATTTTGCTCTTTTGCCTTTGTTGCAAACTCTAACAATCCCTCTTCTCCAAAATCTTTTTATTGATATATGTTATTTACAGTAACCAGATACTTATGAGCACTTATTACCAAAATAAGCTTTTTCTTCAAACAATCCAATTACGTAACAACCTTGTTTGTAAGTACAAAGCTTCAATAACACCCAAAAAAGGAGGTATATGTTGTCACAATAGAAAGGCTATGTGTCTTCCATTTTCTACTCATTGAGAACTCAGTGTTGTTGTAATGTGGTAAATACTGTATTTTATGTTTCTGTTAAAGAAAAAAAATCTCTTCCCAGATAATGTGAAAAAAAAGTTTTTTTTTCTGAAAGGCAGCTGTATGGAGGTGTTATACATTGTGCTTTTTAAACTATTCCTTTCATATAATATTTTGAAGATAAAATTATTTTATATCTATATAATGTCCTTTAGTAATATGTATGCATTTATAATTTTCTTAATAAAATCTGTATTCAAATGATATTTTCATTGGTTTTAAATTAATAGAAGATATGTTCCCTTGCTTCTTCTTTATACACAAGCAGCAAACAGGCTTCCAATCAGAAGAACACTTACATGTACACTTTTTGGTTAGTTAATTTTATGGTCTCAGTAAAGTCTCCCTGAAATCACACAGACTCAGAGTACAGGTAACCAAAGAATGGATGGTCACATGACTTTGTGGGCATCAGGATTCTGGGATATTCAGGATCTGTCCCTAACAGGAGGCGACTATAAATAACATATTTGAAACTCCATCCTGAGAATCTTGCACAGAAACCAGAGTATTGTCCTAAAAAGAAGTTTCAGTTGCTACAAATCAGCATTTTCTAAGGAAAAGTGTTTGATCTAGAAGTTCCCATTCCACTCCTAACATTGACATTTTGGTAATGTGGTAACTTTTCTGTTGCTTGATGAGTTTGACTAATCTTAATTCCAGGTTCCACTACTTCATTCATTTGCAGGATTGTTAAAGGAGAGATGAATATAAATATACAAAACACAGTCTAGGTATGGACAAAAGTATATTTTAGCTGCTTTAACCACATGTAAGCAGGTCACCTAGCTTTCTTGCTTCGGTTGGCAGACTTTGCTCCTGGAGGCGCTCCTCAGCCAGTACTCCCCAAAAACCCCACAGTCTTTAAGCAACAAAGAAGTAAACAAATAAGACCAACCCCCTCTGCCCTGTCCCAGCACTAGAAGGTGAGCCTTTTGCCTCTGGTCCCTTGTGCAGCAGCCTTCTTGTAGCAAGCAGTTGTGCTCACAACTTGCTACTTCTCTCTCTTCTGAGATTTTAAAAGCTCCTAGCAGAACACTCCCTGCTTATTGAAATGCCCTGCTGCTGGGCTGCCTGCTCCTTCTTAATGGAACACACCACCCTGTTAAACCAGGCATCAACTGTTACCACCTATCTCATATACCTGCACCATCCTGTAGTAATGCAGGTAAGCTAAATCTCATCATCTTAAACCCTGGATGAAACGGTTAACAGTGGAGGGGTTTTGCATCCTATCAGCTTGTATAGGACAGGCACTGGATGACAGTAACAAAGGCCAGATTCAACTTTAGGTGTTTTATACCGCTTCTCAAATTTAGCTTAAGCCCCCCACCCAGAAATCTGGGAAAATACATTTTAACTGGGTGTTCTAACATGAACAAACTTCCCCACTTGCAAACAAATGTTAAACAGGGTTTATTATAAGGAAAAAGGGGAGCAAGCATACAACTTAAGCAAAAACATAACTATTAACCCTGAACTATAGCTCAAAAAAGATCACAGTCACCAGCAAACCAACCCAGGGAGCTACCACTTAGCCCAGTCAGTTGGGAAGGGATTTTCATCCAGGTCTATAGTCTGGGGGTTCTATTACCTATCCCTATTCTATTACCTAGACAGCAAGTGCTGTATAAGAAGACCTGCACCAGAGGCCCTATTGTTGCTTACTGCCAGGGGTTACTGCTCTGCTCTGGCGACTCTTACCACCTATACCAGCAAAAGTAGCAAGTGCTGGATAGGGAGACCCACACCAGAATTGTAGCCACTCGTGCTGAGGAGCACTGTTAGCATGTGATGCTTAGGATTGCTGATCTGGCTGCTGCCAGTAAAGGTCTTCACTTCTCCAACCACCACTGTTTCAGACTGATCTGTTTCAAACCTTGAGCTTAGGGAATGTCAGCACTTAGCTCAGCAGTGGGCAATTATTTTGGGTGGAGGGCTGCTTACAGGGTTTTGGCAAGGTGTCAAGGGCTGCATTGGTAGCCCCGCCCCTTGACAAGTGCCCTGCCCCTGGTCTCCATCTTGTGACTGGAAGTCCTGCCTCCTAACCCCCAACCTTTGCCACCAGAAGTCCCTCCCCTTACGCCTAGAAATACTAATTTCAGCAAGGGGTTTTGACATCTCAGAACCAGAAAAATACCAAATTCTAAAAATTGAACATCTACAACATTCATTAGTTTGATTTCAGAAAATATTTTTGTCTCGATTTACTTGAGTTTCTGTAGAGTACATAAAGGTGATTGCACAATAGCTTAAAATGAAGTCTTATGCTTGTATACTGGGCGTGGGGGACATTGGGAGTGGGTATAGGTTTGTGGGGGGCTGTGATTTCATAGACATCAGGACTGGAAGGGACCTCGGAAGATCATCGAGTCCAGCCCCCCGCCCAAAGGGCAGGAAGTCAGCTGGGGTCATAGGATCCCAGCAAGATGAGCATCCAGTTTCATCTTGAAGGTGTTCAATGAAGGCGCTTGAACCACCTCCGGTGGCAGGCTGTTCCAGACCTTGGGGGCTCGGAGA